TTACCGATTTTCAAATCGCTCAAATCCAATGTAAATATTAACTACTGAGGGAATCGCATGCACTCCAAACAAAATTAAATAAACCAGATGTGTCATCAAGGTAAACGTCGCCTGCTATGTATGCATCGCCCGCTATCCGAAGTCACGCTCAATTAAAATGTTACAATCGGATATAGAACACAGTCGGTAAAATTACAGATCAGGCATTTAAGATCTAAGAACGCGAAAACATGTCGCTAGATAGTTGAGACACTGACATATCGTATCGGTCAACCAATTTGTATTGGTGAAAGTAAATCTTGTGTAGTGTACAGTCTCTGCACCAGGTCAGGAATATGACAGTTGTTGTCCATTCGTTTGATGTGTTTGTGCTTATGATTTTGCCATTTGATTAGGGACTTTCCGTTTTGAATTTTCCTCGGAGTTCAGTATTTTTGTGATTTAACTTTTTAAAGTCGTTCTTCTTCATAACTCTCATGGAGAAGTTTTTATTTAAGGAGCATAATGAAGTCGGTATAGTATGAACATGCATGAGCGAAACCAGGCTCAGCCAAAATGTATCAATTAAGGATAGGACACACAAGCAAAATTTACTGATCAGACGACTATTTTGATATCTTGGGAATAAGATCACGAAAATATGTATCTTGTTAGTTGAGAGCCAGACATATCGTATTGGTCAATCAATTCGTTGTGGTGACCGTTAAATTTGTGTAGTGTCGATATCAGTTGTTCTTCATCATAACCATGCTGCTGAACATATCCCCTCAAGTCCGTTCAGTGTTAGCATACACGCGCGTAACGTATAAATTGAGATATATGTGTCAACTCAGAAGAACTTATAATAACCAATAGTTGAACATTAACTGGATGCATATATTAAACAAAATTCACAATGGTTATTGCGTAATTTAGGAAGCTAATACATTGTAAGAATACACGTAAGTAAAACATCAAATGAGATATATATAACAAGTCCGACGAACTGAACTAGTGTTTGAACATCGTTAAAAGCAGGTAAAACACGAAATAACTTCCAAGAGTATTTTGTTCATATATTCAACTGAATAAAGGCGATATTCACCGCGCTAAACATCACGTGCTTTACAAATATAATTATGCTAAAATGTTGAATGCATATATGGTATTGGTAAAAAAAAACCGAGTGCACCCAACATTGTCTACATGTTTGGGAGCTGCGATTGAAAAGTACTTTTATAGTGCATTAAATCGTTAGGAAATTTTCAAGACAGATACATTAATTTGACATAATAACACTAATACTGTAAAAATACATGCGGTAAATATGAGTTGATGTATTGCCTTCGTGTGAAATTAAGACGGATCGGTCCAGAGAAAAGGTTAAACAAAAACAAATGAACACATTGACAACACATTCAGAAAACGAAAAATTATGCACCTAACACTTACAATAAGTTGAAACGAGCCCGGTTTTTTGAAAATTTAACTGTGAAAAATATGCAGATAACGAGTTTAGCGAGTTTAAGTCACTCATGTAATATCTTGCTGTTCAGTCGAAAGATTGAAATGACAAAGTGTTTAAACGTATTGACAATTTAGAGAAAATGGTTTTGCAAAATAATTCTCTTAAATATAAGCAAAATGATTGACAATAAGACAAAATAAAAAAGCGAAAGACAACGCAAAGAAGACATATTGATATGACAAAAAATTGCGGTTCTGCAATTATTCGTGATTGACTTGCACGATATTCTAGTTGTTGAAGCTCAAGAAAAGAAATGAAACCGTCCAGGGATTGTGATATCTTCCGTTGAAATTGAAGAACAAACCAAAAAGTTCATGAAAAGTAAAAAGAAAGTTGAAACATACACGTGATTATAACAAGGTTAATACCGCAGATGAACTTACAACTGAAGCGCGGATACAATTGGCAAATATGATGACAGTGATGGCGGGTAATGGTCGTGAAAAGATTTTGTGTCCGTAAACGGTTAAATTCAGAAGAGAGGCAACAATACGAGAGGTAAAGAACGTCACAATCCGAAAGAGGAGATTGGATACCACTCCAGGGAAGACATTGTCATTGTAGAGGTGGTACAGGTGCACGCAGATATTAGGAATTGACGATTCGTGTTCGGAACATTAGATGGTATTCAATACACCAAAATGACAATTCAAACTTCTGATGTCATGTTGAAAACGCTTTTAATTTTGATATCTTATGTCGATGTAAAACTTTTTGACAGATAATGATAAATAAAACGTAAAAGATTATACAACTATAGAAACAGAGATAATCTTCATGTAAATTCCAAGAGAGGTGATGGTGGTGTAGCGGCTTAAGTTGCAATTTTAAACAATCAATTACACAAGATACTATGTAGATAAAATTAAGTAACAAAGATGATATTTTATGTTTTTGTGCATGTTACTTTATTTTTTTTTTATACTAAATTACTCGAACAAATGTATATGTATCAAAATGTCGGTAGATTGTATATTTGTGGTGATTTTAATTCTAGATGTAGGGGTACCCAAGATTTTATTGAAGGTGTTGATGATGTAAACATAAGAGAAATTGTTGATGATGTATAAAATAGAAACAGTTATTTACTCATTCCGTTTTTAAGAAGATTGTAATATATGAATGGGCGAATTGTATGGCTCAAAAGATTTTACTCATGCAAGTAAATATGTAGTAGATCATGTCCTTACTGCACATGAACAGTTAGACGAAGTTATTGATTTTAAAGTGAATACAATATCAGACTGAGGGCGTATTTGTTGCCCTCAAACTAGTTTACAGTTTCGGTATTTGAATGGTTTATGGTTTCGTTTGAGACCGATTTTAAACCTGTTTTGGTTTACCATTTCGAAAACAAATAAAAAGTTTAAATAATGGTCAAACTGTTCAAACCACATTAGTAGGTTTGATTAGTTTATGAAACAGGTTTAGGGTTTAAAGAAACTACTGTACAACCAGTTTCGGTTCTAGATCACTCTCTGTTAGAATGGGGTATACGAGTTTGAACAGATCTGCTCAATGACGATCAAAACGAGAGCAGTATATCAACGAATCGAGTTAACGGCCCATCCAAATTCAAACTAGACGGATTGAGGAACAATCTTTTTTCTAACGAAAAAATGCAGAATGTATTACGACATAAAGCGTTTTACTCCGCCACATTCTTTATGTGCCTGTCCCAAGTCAGGAGCCTGTAGTTCAGTGGTTGTCGTTGGTTCATGTCTGTCATATTTGTTTCCGTAAATTGTTTTGTTATAAATTCGACCGTTAGTTTTCTCAATTGAATTGTTTCATGTTTTTCATGTAGAGGTCTTTTATAGCCGACCATACGGTTTGTTTTTTTCTCATTGTTGAAGGCCGTACGGTTGCCTATAATTGCTTACATCCACTTCATTTGAAATTTGGTGGATATTTGTCTCATTGGCAATCATACCACATCTCCTTATTTTTATATACTATATATCGAATCGAAATTGTTTTAAACTGCAGTCAAGATGTAGATTATAACGATTTGAAACATTTACCTTTTAAGGAAATTGAAATAACATAAAAAGTATTGACACCGTCCGTTTCTAATATACGAACAAATAAATGTATTTGGGAACCATATTGGTCCGAGGAATTACAGGAATCAAAGGAATTGCAGAAATCATGGAAACGTGTGAAGTTGTATGACAATGAAAGAAAGCCGTGTAAATCGATTGGAAAATCTAAGCTCCGTACTCGATTTATGCAATCACTAAAAGATTTCGACAAACTAAATCGTAAAGCGAAATAACTATAACAAATGACCGTAAATTGATAACTACTTATCAAATTCGATCACTAACAGGAGAATAATAAATGACATTGGGTTTGTGTTAGATAAATGGAAAACAGACTATAAAAACTGTACGACAGTGCCGAGCGAGATTTTGCAAAATAACACGTGTATTGACTTAGCGACAGTTATCGATAAAATTCGAAACAACGAGAGTCAACAGCATAACTTTAATCTTCTTGTATGCAGATTTCCTAATATGCAAAGATTACACATTTGTTATTTTTAGATGTTGTCTGTTGGTTTTTCGGATTCAAGCGTCTAAGCTATGCCTTTTATCGACAAAGGTAAACTGTTTTTGCAAATTGGATTCCAGTTATTCCACTTTAAGATAAAAAATCCAAAACTTCGTGGGAGGTTTCGTAAATCAGAACTTATATGAAAGGATGAAATTACAGAACAAGAGCATTTTGATCTGGATAATTCAAAATTAAAATTTGCTTTTTCAAGCAAAGCAAGTTTGTCTTTTTTACCAATAGTTCTTTCCCCGTTTGAATGGTTTTACACTTGTCATTTTTGGGGCACTTTATAGCTTGCTGTTCGGTGTGAGCCAAGGCTCCGTGTTGAAGTCCGTACTTTGACCTATAATGTTTTACTTTTAAAAAACTGTGACTTGGATGGAGAGTTGTCTCATTGGCACTCATACCACATCTTCATATATCTACTTATATAGCAGACATGCATCACAAATGACGACTCCAAGCCAACCAGTCAAAAGATTGACAAACCTTTATGCATTCATTTCTATTATCGTCTGAGGGTTTTTTCTTGTCATTTTTTTCGTTTGAAAAGTGCCATAACATTAATTATTGTTCAAAATTAAAAATATCAGACACCCAGATACAAGTTTTTCAACGTAGTATCGTCTTCTCTAACAATATATAATTAATTGATATAAGAATTGGAGAATAAAGCATAAAGCTTACACTAACAAATTACCATAGCATTAAAGACATGAACACAAAATGAAACTTGACGAAAAGAATATCATGTAAAAAGACAAATTGAATGTCTTTTTTAGAGTACACTAAAACAAGCACACCGAGCTGAAAAATGTATACGCTGTTTGCGAATCTCAGTGGCATGAGTTTTCTTTCTCTACGAACTCATTTTGTGATAAGAAAATTTAAACCTGCGAGATAACGGACGGAAAAAAAACAAATAAATATCTGATACAATGATAATGTTTTATTTCTTAACACCGAGCTACTTTAAACATGATGCCTCAAATTAACAGATATTTTTGCTCTACTATATAAATAGCTAACTCATGTAATTATTCACTTTTGCGGCTAATGTTGTGATTGGAAGGAAGAAGGCTACTGCAACTTCAGTTTTACACAAAATTGTTTTAGGGATCATGATTAACCTATTTTGGTAACTTCTCGTTTTCTAAGGGTATATGTGATCAAGCATCTTTCTTTCTCCAAATAGAATTGTTTTCTGTCTCTCCTTGCTGCTTGGATATAATCTTTTGTCTTATTGTTTTTCAGAAACTTACAGTTAGGTGACCAAAGAGCGTGTTTATGCCATGGATCGTCTGATATCTGCCAATTACGCAGTCCATGTCCACACATGTGGCATGCGACTTTGTCTTCAATGTGAGTAAAGTAAAATCCTGCTTCAGCCAGTAGTATTGGATCAGGGGCATTGGCAATATCCCAGTTAACGTACGAATTTATTCTCGAGTGTAGTTTTTCAAAATCTGGATTATACATGCCTTGACGGATAGTTCCGTCAAAACGACAGCGATTTACAAATTCCTGTCCCTTTGTTGACAAAACGAATGGACAATGATAGTAATATTTAGCATGACGAACCCATGGTTCCTCGTCAGGTTTGAAATCCCAATCTGCGGCATTGCAATAGAAACATCGAAAAACTACTCCGTCGTCTGCACAAAAGTATCCAGCGTCAGCAAATTCTTCTTTTGTAGGTTTAACAGATGTAGGATAATATCTAAATGTCTTAAGTCTGGCTTCGTATGTGTCAAACTGTGGATATTTTGGTTTTGTTACTGGCGGTTCAACCACCGCGTCGTGAATAAGCATTCTACATTCATTTCGGATTGCTCGGGATTTTGGAATTCCTTCCATGGAATAAACAACACCTCTTCCGAAATGATCATAAGTTTCGTTTGCATTTAATGTTGTTCGTACAATTTCGTTGAATTGTTTGACTTCGTCTGAATTTTTACGCAACATTAAATCTTCCATGTCATACACAATCAGACCAACTTTTGAAACTTTATTCTTTTGTTTTTGCATATTTTCTTTAAATATGTGTGCTATATAATAAGGACGACTGACAAAATCTTTTAAAGTTTTCATAGAGACAAGCACTGTACTATCTTTAATTTCTATTCCTAATGTTCTCATGGCAGAAAAAAAGAATCTAAAATCATTGCACTGGTTTAAGAAATGAAATAGGTCATATGCAACAGGTTTAGCTAAGAAGTAGACAACTTCGTCCATTTTAGATTTTCTAAGTCTGGAAAGAAATTTTGTACCAACTACTTCTAATTCTGAAAACTCGGTTTCATCTTGTGATTGTTTCTTTATAATATAATCTGAACTCTGCTCAATTGAATTAATAAGGTGGTTCCACCAGGATTCCTTGTTCCCCAAAATATCTAAAACTTGGAATGGTTTTAAAGTTCTAGGAACTTTACATTGTTCTAAACGACATGGGATAATAACGTTACGATCTCCATCCTCGCCTCGACTGAAACATTCCTCTAAAGCTAAATCCAATTCATATTGACATTTATCGCTTTCCATAAATGCTTCTGTTAAAATTATTAGAATTTTCATACTTTGCTCAAAAGACTGAACTATTGTTTTTGGATACCTTTGACCTGGAATAAAATCTCGACATTTGTAATAGCAAAGGAAACCTAGACTCTCTAGATCATTAACGAGATTAGTCACATGGCTGGACACTATGTCATTATCTTTGTAGATAACACTTACATGGAATCGTTTTCCGAACGCAAGAACTTTTTGATGGCGCTGATATATGACTACATCTGGTGCAAGATCAGAATTTACTGCACTGACCTGAGTGACCGTCATACATTTCCTACTGTCCTTGGTTTTAACCACTGTCTTCGTTTGTTTACACTCTTTCGATTTGCTCATGTAGTTTTCGTTTTCTAAATGTGAAGTTTCATTTCTATCTATTAATTGGAGTTCCAGTGAAAGATGGTCTTTTAAGTTAACTGCAACTTCCGAAGCGCAATCATCAGCTCTCCAATAATTTCCGCAGTTCTGTGTTTGATTGCCGAGTGAACCTGATAGACACATATTTTGAAGTATGGAATTTGTGCTCTCTGAATCACACTGGCATAAGCTGTCAAAAGAAACACTAATGCCGGAGTCTAACTTTTTATCGGTTGATGCATCCATTTCTGAAAAGAAAAATATTTCAAACATTGACTTGATAAATCATTTAAAAAAATGAAAATAACACTTTATAAATTTAGTGCTTTCCTAGAATCATCTTCACCAAAAACTCAAAATTAAAACATTATTAACACGCTTTAATACTACGGGACACAAACCATCAACTACTCGATCATGAAAAACAGTTAAATCTAATGTGAGGAAGATGTATTTAATAAGTTTAAATCAGACTGGTGTACAAGAGTTGCTGCATATGCAGAGGGAAGTAAATTGAGGACTTTCAAATTGCTTAAAAATAACTATTGTACTGAAAATTATTTGAAAAATATTCTGTCAATAAAAAACAGAAGTTCTTTTGCAAGATTTAGATGTGGGGTAGCTCCACTAGAAATAGAAACTGGAAGGTATGAAAGAAAAGAAGTCCACGAGAGGACATGTTTTAACTGTAGCTCTATTATTGAAGGTGATCTTCATGTCATTTTGAAATGCCCATTATATGTAGATTTAAGACAAATCATGATACATGAAGCTAATCATTTTAATGAACGTTTTAACCTATTATCAGATAGCGAAAAATTTATATTTTTATTTAATAAGGACAATGTTGCTGCTATAGTTGCAAAAACCTGCAACAATATTTTATTAAGAAGAAACAGTATTTTATTTCACTAGTTCTTAAAGAAACAAATGTTTTACTTTCATTTAGTATAAATGTATACTGTAAATTTTAAATGTAAATGTGTAAAAATATGTTTATATGTATTCATTGTGTCTTAAAAGTCTTTCATAAATCTTTTTAAAATTGGTGCATACAATGCAAATGTTTTAATGTTTTATGTTTATTTCTGTGAATCTCATTTTATGTTTGTATGTGGTGAGACTATAATAAGATATTGAATCTGAATCTGAATGTGTGAAACGTGAATATTTTCATGTATTATGTACTTGATAGATTTTAATATAATATTTAAGCCAGGTGCGCCTAATTATATCTTTAACAAATCAATGCTGTATTCCCAAACATGCGAAATATCGGACGAAAAACCCAAATAAATATCAGATACAGTGATAATGTTTTATTTCTGAACACCGAGCTACTTTAAACATGATGCCTCAAATTAACAGATTTTTTGTGGAGTTCAGTTGCCTCATGCGTAACCTATAAATAAATTAAATGAAATTAAATTACTTCTTAAGATTAAAACAGTTATAAACATCTGCTTGATTTTTGTACAAATGTAAAAAAATAAATGGAAGTGTTTCATGTTTTATCAGAATACATTTTATTTTTATTTTTTCCAACATATATATTTCTTTCCATCGTATAAAGCCCCTTCTTCTTTGATGACAGATTATGTTTTGGGATTTTTAGCAGCTAAAATATGAGTCAATATGGGGGTAAAGATTGTGACCATAAAAAAATACGAAAATCTGCGTTGGAAATGTCAGAATGTTTTCTTACTGGGGTTTTGTTCGATTGAACATATTTAAATGTGTTTGTAACAGCATCTTCACTGTACTATTGTAATGAAAAAAGAGATTATTAAAAATAATTTTGGTTAGGTTACTCTCTCCTTGACGTACCCCAGGTCTCTTTAAATGTATAGAGTACCGATACATCTCCATATTCTATCGAAAAAAAAAACCTTTAAAAGACACCAACGATGGCGGTTCAAATCATGACTGGGTATTATTCATTCAAAATCAAATTTAGAAATTTAGAAAAAATAGGGATGACTATTTTTTTCATCCAGCAACCCCATCAAAATAACTAAGATGTCGTAAGTACTCTGCTTTATTCAAAATACGTATCATTTATACTCGCGACTCGCCGGTAACTTGTCAGTACATTACCAAAAAATTTGTGAAAAAGGCACAAGATCTGAATTTATACCATTTTGCAACTAGTAATCTTTACAATCTTAGGACTAGACAAAATATTTCACAACCAATATACAGATTTATAACATATCAGCAGTCCTAAATTCAAGCAACGAATAAATTGTGAGACCACCTGGGTCGGAATCTGTGTCAACTGTTTAACTGTTCCATATCTTTAAACTTAAAATTTACACCAAAAAGTATTTTCAAATGAAAACAAATAACTATTTGTGTTATTGTTATTGCTACGGTCAACTGAAAAAGTCTCTTTTCCATGCTTTATATATGAAAATATGATAAGGGTTCAAATTTGAAATGAAGATGTTAAAAATGTGTAACTATGATAAGGATGTGGTAAATTGTATCACAGCAGCTCATTCCTATCAAAAAATAGGCATACACACTATTCGGGGACCGAAGGTCATAGAGCAGGACGCAATCAAGAAATATTTACAAATAGGAAATGGATTGCTGCTACCCTCTCCCTACTCCCGAATCAAGCAGACAGCCTTTTTTTAAAACATCTTTTACAGATGATTTTAATAAGAATTTTAATTCAATATTATCAGCATGTAGGCATGGGGTAGGCCGTACGGTTGCCTATAATTGCTTACATCCACTTTATTTTAACTTTGATGATTAGTTAATTGTCTCATTGGCAATCATACCACATCTCCTTATTTCTATACTGGTACATTTTTTTGATTTGCCTGTGTATTCCTATATGTTTACACAAATATCCATCATATACCTTTCCGTACTCATGATACATAAAAATAAAGATAACAGCATCCTGCAAATTAAAAGATTAAAAAGGAAAATAGATTTGTAAACTAAAAAAAAAACCATCACAAATTTGTAGATATTAACAACATGTAGACACAGTGAAAATGTTACTTACATAATCATTTATTTGCCACGTATTGTTTCGTTTTCCTTGAGATTCATTACAAAATTATATTTATAGAAAATTCATTATTGAAAATCCCCGGTCATTCATAAAACTCATTGATTTGTACGGTTCAACGAGTAGATCACTAATCCATTCTCTATATTTAAATTACAGTTTAAGGAAGTTTTTAATTTTCTTCACAGTTATGACACAACATATGAGTATTAGTCATAAGTCGAAGGTTTTATTGATTCTCTGTCGATTAATGATGAGGCGGCGGAAATACACATACTGAACTTATGTGCAGTGGGAAACCTGGTGAGTCGAGAACAAAAAGAAAAGTAACTCTTCCGTTCATCAAATCGACATCCAATATAAAGTCACATTCTCAAATCAGGAGTCGGTTTCACAAAAAAACTTACGACTAAGATTGATCATAAGTATACTGAATTGTTCATGACTGACATCAATCTTCTTTGTAAGTTTTTTTTTTGTGAAACCGACTCCAGTGTCCAATATTTTTACCCTCTAATCGGCGTCCAATGTGACGCCATGTATTACCGAAACGACATCCGATCGATCGGAGTCTCCGCTCATCGATCAACAAAGTCGACAACAGTCCGTCCCAAATTATCAACTAAATAAAAATAAAAGGACAAACATTAGTAAATGACAATACGACAAACACCGACATCATATTACAATGTTCATGTACAGCATATTAATATATTGTTGAAAGAAGTTAATCCACTGGATCTACGTATGTTGTCTTATTCCTTTCATATTCATAAAAATAAATGACGCGTGGATATACGAAATTGAGACAACAACCCAACGACAAAGATAATCGAAAGACATCTAGGGGGCAATATACAGTCTCAAACAACAGACAGAATAAAGAAAATGCCTGTTTCAAATCAGAAATATAATTGTGACGTCATTGCGGCAAGTCCGTAAAAAGGGCGTCGATGCGAGAAGTCAAATATTGGACGTCGATTTGAGAACAACAAAAAAGACGTCGATTAGAGGGGCATATTATGGAATTGGCCGTCGATTTGGGATCTTATTTATTATGACGTTAGATTTTGACGTCAATTAGGGACCATGCGTCGATTTGAGTTTTACAAATATACTGGGAAATCAATATAAGCAGGAGTTAATTCCCTTTGTCCAGCGCATTAATAATTACTTATTAAAGTTAAAATATGTATTCAAATCTGTGTATTGTTGAGTGCTAGATTCTATCTGCATAGATTGTTCCATAGATCAATATCAAATTGAATTCAAATATATCATATGATATGATCCATTTGATGGCTGTGTATGTAATTGTGTTGACATAATCATGATAATAGACATAAGTTTCTTTCCTTAGTTCAGATCAATAGTGGGTTAACACATGTACAATATCTTTTTAATTGTAAATTAAAGTGACAATATTCTGTCTGCATACATGTATATATATTGTTTAACTTTTTCGTAATGAGAGGATTATAGCTCAGTAATTATTAATATACCGTAAATATAGATACATATTGGTGTGAGCCAAGGCTCCGTGTTGAAGACCGTTCTTTGACCTATAATGGTTTACTTTTATAAATTGTGACTTGGATGGAGAGTTGTCTCATTGGCACTCATACCACATCTTCTTATATCTATATACAAGTATCATATGGCCATTAACCTATATCATGTAAATAAATAAAGGCAACAGTAGTATACCGTTGTTCAATAGTCATAAATCGATTAAACAAAAACAAATCCGGGTCACAAACTAAAACCGAGAGTAAACACATCAACTATAAGAGGAAAACAACTGAAAAACAGAAACACTGAACTGCTAAAAAAACAAACGCCAACATACATAGAAACGGAATATTTGATAACAACAACCATATTCCTGACTTGGTACAGGACATTTTAAGAAAAAATGGTGGGTTGAACCTTGTTTTATGGCTAGCCAAACCTCCCGCTTATATGGCAATGTTAAAAATACCGCTGAAATGACAACATTACGTGACAGGAATACAGTACAAATAAACGCAAGAACACTCAGGACAGAGAAATACATAAATAAATAATATAATAGTACATTAGAACATGTAAACCACAGAATAACAACGGACACCACCCATTAATTTACGATAGTACACCAGTACACCACAATAGAATTATGAACTGTACGTCACACGAATGGATCAACGCCACAAAAAGTGACGTCACAGGTAAGTTTCTAAAAATAGAATAGAAAATTAGGATAAAGTTTGTAATGGTGTTATTTTAAGTATTTTCTAACCATTACACGAATATTAATATAGAATTATAAAATTGAGAATGGAAATGGGGAATGTGTCAAAGAGACAACAACCCGACCATAGAACAGACAACAGCAGAAGGTCACCAACAGGTCTTCAATGCAGAGAGAAATTCCCGCACCCGGAGGCGTCCTTCAGCTGGCCCCTAAACAAATATATATACTAGTTCAGTGATAATGAACGCCATACTAAACTCCAAATTGTACACAAGAAACTAAAATTAAAAATAATACAAGACTGACAAAGACTAGAGGCTCCTGACTTGGGACAGGCGCAAAAATGCGGCGGGGTTAAACATGTTTATGAGATCTCCCCCCTCCCCCTATACCTCTAGCCAATGTAGAAAAGTAAACGCATAACAATACGCACATTAAAATTCAGTTCAAGAGAAGTCCGAGTCTGATGTCAGAAGATGTAACCAAAGAAAATAAACAAAATGACAATAATACATAAATAACAACAGACTACTAGCAGTTAACTGACATGCCAGCTCCAGACTTCAATTAAACTGATTGAAGGATTATGTCTTCATCATATGAATATCAGGCACAATCCTTCCCGTTAGGGGTTTAGTATCATACCATCATAACATATATGAGAAGAACATAACCCGTGTCATGCCAACAACTGGTTTTTAAATAAATGTGTTTAGTGCCGATGCAAAGACCCTATAAGTGAATCAATATTAACGCCAAAATATGCAATCTTTAATGACCTGACAACAGTATCGTAACTATATCCCTTCTTAATAAGTCTATTTAAAGGTTTTGTTAGCTTCAGAGGTGAATACTGACATTTTTGTGCTTTTTATGTTAGTAATGGTGTAATTATTTGTATTTTTTACCATGTCGGCTTTTCTTCCAAACCAAAACTGAGTAAAAACAAATAAATCCTGTGCACATAGTAACTTTAAACAAAAAACCACACAAACGAACTAGCTGATTAACCACCCCAACTTTTACATACATATAGAAAATGAAAATAGAATTCAAACCACAAACGATAAGACATAACACAATATCTAACCAGACTTACAAGAAGAAACATCATAACTAAATACATGAATGTTGGATGTATAAATACCGAGACACGTCTAATAGCAATGCGAATTCACACTCGGCAAAACAGTCATATTCGGGAATAGGTGACCTAGTCACGTTCGGTACTTAGCAGACCAGACGACGTAGATGGTAAAACAAAATCTAAGACGTGTTAAAAATGTCGTTAGTTAGTTTAGATACAGACACATCGTATAGATCAACCAATTCGTGATGGTGTCCATAAAATTTACGGAGTGTCATTTTTAATCTTTCCTTCTCATAACTCTGTTGGAGTAGTTTCTGCTTAAGGAGCACACTCCTGTATATGAAGTCCGTATAGTGTATAAGTAATACTTTTCTTTGCTTAATAATTCCCATTATTTTATCTATCATATGATAATACATAACAGAGAAAAATATAAACCGTAATAGAGAGTTTGCACTCTGTCAATCTAAATTATGTTATTAACAAACGTCGACTGTAAATAAACTCATCATATATACCAGGATTGAAATTTTGTATTTGCGCCAGACGCGCGTTTCGTCTACAAAAGACTCAAAGTGTTGCTCTCCACCTATTGCAGTTTATTCAAAATTCTGACCAAATTGCAACTTGATTTATCAAACCAAACTGTCCAACTGGTCAGAAATTTGAACAAACTGCTGTAGATATCTACAGTCAAGTCGTAAAAGTGCAAGATGATAAAATAAAGCATACTTACAATCGTATTGGACTTTATTTCCACATCATTGATATTTTGAAAATGACAATAGGAATGTATATACATTCTTTTATTGTAATTGTCATTCCAAAGGTGAATTGCTGAAAAATGTCCAAATTTAAGTTTTTGAATTATTTCTTCTAAAAATGGTGTTTTTCTATGCATGCTACAAAGCTTTGTTTAAATTAATCGCTAAAATACCTGGTAAAATATATTTTAAGCTTATATATGTTCTCTTGAAGATTTAAAGATAAGATCAATATTTCAAAAGATCAATGATTTTATATTATGTCCCATGAAAACTTATCAACTATGTATTGTAATTTCACATATATTTTACTGAATATATCATGGTTAAATTCAAACTGATTTCTTATTCTTATGAATTTAGAAGATTTTTTTAAAGAAAAATTGTATGAAAGCTTAGTTTCGACATTTTTTTAGCAATTCAATAAAATACTACCTATCACATTTCGAATGACAATTACAATAAAAGAATGTATAGAAATTCTTATCGAATCTTATCAAATATCAATAAAGTGGAATTAAAGTCTAATAGGATTTTAAGTATGCTGTATTTTATCACCTTGCACTTTCACGACGTGACTGTAGTTTTCTACAGCAGTTAGTTATAATTTCTGACCATTTGAACAGTTTGGTTTGATAAAACAAATTGCAATTTGGTCAGAATTTTGAATAAACTGCTATAGGTGGAGAGCAACGCTTACAGTCAAGTCACAGTAATGTTCTGTTTCTATTACTGTATTCTATGTCATTTGGTCTCTGGTAGAGAGTAGTATTATTGGCAATTATACCACATCTTCTAATTTTTATATTCATATATAAAATTGATTTTAAATTATCATCAAAGTACATTGTACCAACAGGAAGCCTGCATTTCTGTAAAGGAAATCATTCAATTTACTGTTCATTCAACCTTAATATGGTTTTGTGGAATTCTGAGGCGTCTATTTAAAAATGCTTCAAAATTAGCAATATTCCATAATAAATTACTTAACTTTAAAGATAAATTTATTCATATTTGGTAGCTATAAGAGCTGGTAGCATTATGCACTTTTATGAAATGTGTGTCCATATATAAGGAGATAATCATGACTTATTAGCTCCCTTTTACCAAGCGATTTTGTTAAAGAATAAAAATAATAATTTGTTTGTACTGAC